CATTAAAAACCTGCTGATTTAAACTCATCGTTTACATCGAGTCATTTCTGTGTTGTAGTCTCTCAGCGAATGGCATCACATCAAAAGGCGGGAAGGTCCTGACAGAAGCTCTGAGAGAGAACAGCGTCCTCAGAATATTCTGGTGAGCAGATCACTGACTGAGCTGAATGACTCTGCTGCTGTAAATGAAGGACTCTGTGTACAGAGGTTCATGTCTGTGTTGTAGGTTGGTGCAGAACGAGATGACTGACGATGCAGCTCCACACTTGGCTGAGTTGGTGAAAGCGAACTCGGGTTTAACTCACCTCTGGTATGGGACACACACACACACACACACACACACACACACACACACACACACACACACACATACACACACACATGATGTCACCGTGGACCAGAGCTGTGATGCTGCGGAATACCCAGAGGCCTGTGCTACGAAGCAGGATGTGTGGTTAGTGAGGAACATCGCCATGATAACTCACGCTGCACTATGTCTACTAACCAATCAGTTCCCTTGGAAAATGGATCAGCATCATCTTCATGCATGGATAATAGCAGGGAGCGTTCAGGGACCAACAGACCACTTTGACTTCCCCTGATGATTTTTTATAGTGACCCTCATTATTGCAGAGGGCCCTTCCTCAGCAGGTGAACCTCTGTGTATGGGGGCCCCTTTTGTCTTCTTTATTTCTTTTTTTTCCCTGTTGGCAGCAACAATGTCAGTCATTTCATTGTGTTTTTGTATGATATCATCCTACAACTGAGGCCCTGAAGCCTCATAAGTACTTGATGTACTTATGAGATGTGACAGTTAAGTCTATTTGGCTTGAATTATATTTTTCTTTTTCTTTTTTAGTTGCTCCCAAGTTGGTTTGACACCACCAGGGCTGCAGTTGAAAGAATTAGACTAAAACTGTCATACAGACCAAAGGAAGATATCTACTCATTCATTTAATGGAATACAGAAATGTAATTATGCCCTAATGATGGGCAGCTTTATGATTTTTTGCCAGATGTTCTTCCTGCATTTGGCAGCTGCAGCTGTTGCTGGATCATGAGTTTAACTTCTTCATATTTGTCTGATATTATAGTTTGTACAACATGCTGCTCTACTGCCTGTAGACGTGTCTTGTTTGTGATTGGTCATATGCTGCAAACCCCGCCCCTTTTATGTGAACGCTCAGGAAAACCTGGGTCGACTTACTGACTTTGAACCACTGCATGTGACCGCACAGCATGATTGTGCGTTAGTCTCAGTGAAGCCAGAAAAGAGAAAACGTCCGAATATGTTGAACCTGCTTCGTGGAACAGGCCTCAGGTCAGAGTCTGATTGTCAGTAAAACTCACCTGCCTCATTTATTTGTCAACAGGTTAATCAGCAACCAGTTCACTGTGCACGGGATCAAACACCTGGCTGAGGCCCTGACTCACAACACAATACTCAAAGAGATCTGGTGAGGAACAGTCACACTGCTCAGAGACGTTAAGGTCCACATGCTTTGAAGCAGCTGTTTTCACAGAGTCGGTCAGAGTCTCACATAATGTTACAGTGATCATCACCTGATTGGAGTTTGTGCGCGTGCATGTTACAAAGCGTCAGTTATATGCGGTTATATACGTGAAACTGGGGCAGGCTAATTAAATTCAGTATCCATTTAACACTAGAAATAATAGGTTACGACATTAATGAGAAAACAAGTTACATATCGTCTTGACATTTGCAAAGGCATGAGCAATCGGCAATAGTTCTAATGATCGTCCATTATCAACATCATCGTCCATCGGCACAATCCTAGTGGAGACCAGACGCAGAGCTGAAAGAGAGAAGTGCCTGACTAAGATTCATCAGGTGGAAACAAACATGACCAGCAATCAAATGAATAATCAGTTGTTACGTAGCTGGGAGCGTAAATAAGCAGCTGTTTATTAAGTTCACTATATCAACGTAAAGGTGATGATAAGTCAAACAAACACCTGAAAAAGTCCTCTACTATTGGCTGGACTGGTGGCCACTCAAAGACAATTAGCCTGCTTCTTTATTCCATCAGTGTAGACCAGCAGTTGTCTGGGTATCCACATTCACCCCTTGACTACGGTGACCCTGAGAGGTCATCTCACTGCATCTGAAGACAACACATGCAAACAGACAAAACAGAAACCAATTCAGAAAAGATATATATATATATATATATATATATATATATATATATATATGTATAATACTAAAATGTGAACGTGTCCTGAAAGATAGTTTGAGTTTGAATCAATATAAATAGTTAAAGGTAAAGTCCATGTGTCCCCCCTCTGTGTTGATGAGTGTGAGTGTGGACGACAGTCTGATGTTTCTTGTTCCTACAGTGTGAAAGGAAACCAGCTCTGTGAAGAGGAAGAGAAACAGTTTGTGGCAGAGAAACGGCTGCGGTTCCACTGACTGGCCTTTCACGAGGCTGGCACATGCCGACTTATGTCTGGATGGGAGTAAAGATGTGTGTGTGTGTGTGTGTGTGTGTGTGTTCACTGTATTCATGCAGTGTTAGTGTTAGCAAACTGATCAGGTTTGGTGTTATACTTTATGCTTCCACCTGGCTGCGACTGTCTGCTGCAGTACAAATTCACACTAATTGCTTGAATGTAAATATTATACATTCATCACCTGCTGATGAGTGTTTGAATGAATGAAACTGAACATGTTTCTATCAGACGATGTTTACCTGAAGTTTTCACAAAATGTTTGAAAGTTACAGAAAAGGGAAGTGGAAGCTCTGATAAACACGAACAGACAACTTCCTGCTTCATGAACCTTTGTATAGATTTTGAGTAGATATTTTGTTGTGTATGAATACACTGTAGCTTCATGTTATTTATATTTTGACTGTTGTGATGTTCATTTTCCACATGGCTGGTGGAGCTTCAGTCAAGATGACAACATGATTATAATGTTTGTGTGATAGATACACAGATACCAAAGTGGTGACTGAGGAAACTCACTATATATATATATATATATATATATATATATACATATATCTGGATGATCGTTTACTATAATTTAGGACTGAATGATGTCCAAAAGAAATATTGCAATCATTTTGGCAGACATGACAATTGCAATATGAGTCATGATTTCAGTTGGATTGGTCATTTTTCATTCATTTCATCCTGTACAAAACAAACATGCTCCTTCTGGAGAATATGGTTTGTAGACCAGGTCATCTCTGTAGCACCACAATGCTTCACTTATGGTATGTTGTTGTGACACATTTTACTTTTATCAAAATAATTGCAGCTCCTGTGATTTGGATATTGCATGTAGCCACATTGTGATTTCAATAATATTCCAATTAATTGTTCAGCCCTACAATGAAGTTTGGTGTATGGTGTTTGACATCAGTGTTGGCAGAGGGCTGTGCTCTGAGTGCCCTCCTTGTTAAAGAAGCAATTAAAAGCTCCATACAGTATAAAGGTCTCTGTCCATGTGTAGTTTGATTATAAAGCAGGTCTAGGTTCTATATTAATATTGTGAAAGTATCAAAGCCTCAGTCCACAGAGAGATGCACACAGCCTGTATTCAGAAACTGAGCCTTAAAACCAGCCGTCAGGACTTTGTGATGTCACACAAAGCAGTCACCAAGCCCCTCCCACCGAGACCCACCATCCAACCTTTTGGATTTGGTTTCTCTGAGTCTTTAACTGACACCTGCTATATTTTAGTGACTGACTGACCTGTTGTTACTAGAGCTCCAGAGAGAAGCCTGAGAGAGGATGTAAAACACTGAGATGGACACAGGAGAAGAAGAAAATATGGAGCTTTAGAAAAGCATAGAATCAAAGCAGCAGAGGCTGAGACATCAGTTCTTGTCCCAAGTGTGGGTCAAGCTCCAAAATTACTAGATCCCAAAATTTCCATAATGTAATGTGATAGCATCTTTCATTACACCCTCCTTGCCTGGTGTGCATGTTTGGTGAATATATACATGTGTGAGTAACTGGTTCTTCACCACAGTCACTGTCAATGATTGACCACAGCTGTAGGAGTCTGTGAAGAAACAAGACTGTACAAGTAAAATTCCTGTATGATTCATCACTAAGCTCCACGTATGTTTGGAGAAATGAGAACACAACACTTTAGGCTGATTCAACGTCTGAATTTTTACTTAAAAATTCTGATTAGCTTCAAACACAAAAGAACATAGCATAAAATGCAGTAACTAAAAGAGAATGGTGTCCACAGGATTCACTCTCTTTTTGTACATAGTTTTACATAAAACAAATATTTGAATTCATTGTATATTTGCCTTTTTTTTTGTTTAATCACATACACTGATCAGCTCACATTCTCTGTTACATGTCATTAGGTAATGCTTGATGGGGCTCAGAACTGGCAAGAAATAAATTATAAACCCTAAAAAGTGCTTGACTGATTCTATAGTAGTTCATATAAGGCTTACTTTAGGGCTGGACACAATCTCTAACACACTCACACCCCCACTGTTTGACCTCACCAAACACCATTAAAACTACACTGGGGATTTCTCACTGCATGTGCAAATAGGGGAAGCCCCAGCCGGATGTGATGGTAGCTGCTAAAAGATTTTATCCCAGGGTTCCACATCTGTTAAAGATTTTTTCTTTAGATGTTTTAATATAGAAAGTGTTTGAAACGGATGACCAACATAAGCTGTGTCACAATTCCCAATTCCCCGGACAACCCTTTGAGGACAACTGGTTTACACAATAAACCTTAAGTATCTCTGTCTCATTAGGTCATTAGACTTGTTTCTTTCTAACCCACAACTGATTGATATTTGACAAAAAAAAAATCCAAAGTCCACTTCATCTTATCTCCTCCGTGGATGGAGCTGCTCGGTTGTCATGAAGATGGAGTATTGTTATTGGTTTTGGTGCAGTGCTCACAGACAGTTGATCAAAGTCATTGGCCAGGAGTCAGCTGATGTGTGGAGAAAGAGCCAGTGACTAACTCTCCAGACTGAGATCATGTGAGTGTGATTCTGTAGCACAGCAGATAACTGTACGTTTCAGGAGGAATCTTTCAAATGTGGATACGAATACTAAACTTTGCACTAATCCTTCTGGGGTATTAATCTTTTGATAAAACACGTTAACCAACCAAAGATTCAAGATGGCTGACATTTCTGGCAAGGAAATGTCATTTCTTGCAATAAATTCACCCACAATTATTATATTATAATATAATATAATATATATATAATATATACCCATATTAATAGTCTAGGTCTCAAATCAAACATTTTAACAATGTAGAAGACAAAATTTAGTAGACTGTAAAAAAATGAAACCTGTAAAAATTTTAACAGTTTACCTACATTTTACAAATTAAAAGTCCTGCTGAATTAGAACAATCATACCAAGGGACAGGCCAAAACCTTGTCAGCATAAAAATAATTTCAATTATTTAAAATAATATTTAATTGACATTAAAACTTTGCAAATTTGACAGCTTCATAGTCAAAAATGGATTCAGTTGTAAAATCATTGAAATCTGTCCATTGGGTAACGTGTGTTTTCTATGCCAGAAATGGAGGCCGTCTTGGAAAATGGCGGCCTTTTGAAATTTCAAGTGGCTAATGGGCTTTTTCAAATTAATAGCCACAGAGGGATAAACATACCAATTTTGATCCTTTGAAAAATGATTATAGCTACCTGCTGCACTACTGAGGACGGCCCTGAAAGGGTCACAAACACCAAATAAGCAGACAAGGATTTTTTTTGTCGTCTTCCATCACCTCTTTTGGTTTCATTTTAATCTCCCAGTTTTCTTTTACACCATAGATTACACCTCTGCTAATGGAATCATTTAACAGTGGCCTTTTCCTCTACACCTCCTCATGCTCACCATCAACTAATGGCTTTAGTCGTTTCACTTTGGCTGGGCCGGAGACTCATTTGGAGGCAGCTGTTAGAAGCAATATAAAACCACAAGGACAGATGACTGTGTGTCATCGTATCTATTAAGGCCTGGTCTGCTGCAAGTTTCCTCTAGAATTCACAACAGAGATGGGAAGACATCACTAGAAACCAGCTGTATGATGATGATGATGATGATGATGATGATGATGATGATGATGATGATGATGATGATGATGAATAATCAGTTTAGTCAGATTGAAGATGAAGGTGCAGTTTGAGCCCTGTGAGTCACTCAGTCCAGATGTTTAGACTTTTGCTACAGAAAGAGAAGAGTCCATACTGCTCTCACCTCCACCTACCGCACAGAGAAACCACACCACTGTGTGGTGGGGCAGGGTATTTTATACAGTATGATGAAGCAGTAGTCATGAGTGTGCCAGGGTAGATCCCAAAACTCCAAAGTTTACTCCAGTGACCCAGCAGAGGACCCTTCATTGTTAGAGGTATCATCACATTCAGGATGGTCCTTTAAAGGGATTCTCCAGTCATTTAGAAATGCACTTCCATAAAGTTAGGGGGACTCACAGGAGACAGAATAAAGGAATGGTCCACAGTACAGTTCAAGATCCTAAAAACCCCAGATCTAACTTTATATATAGATGTCTGAAGAGGTTCAGAGACTCATGACCTGCAGGTCGATGCTAACGACCTGTACAACCCAGGAACTGGTATTTACACTAATTCCAATGCGACATATGAAGGCCGGTGGAAATTCTTTTTTGCCAGGATCATTTTTGTACGTGTTTGTTTTTGTTTTCACCTGTGAGAACAAAAACAAACAAGAGGCAAATGATCAAATGATTTTTTCTTTTTTCTGGGAAGATAGAATTTTTTTTTAAATTTTCAACTCTTTAAATTTTTTTTACTGTCCATTAAAATATCCTTCTTCTAAGTGATGGGTATGGAAGCCCTGAAGGTAGAGTTATTTATTTATTTTTTGCCAGGATAGTTTTTCTAGTTTTTTTTCTGTATGAACAACTCCCGAGAGGCATGTGAATTTTTTTTTTTCTGGGAAGATAGAAACATTTTTTGCTGTTTTTTTTTCATTTGTATAAACAACCTCTAAGAGGCAAGTGAATTTTTAGAAATTAGAAAAAAAAATCACTTGCCTCTTGGGGGTTATTTCACAGTTGAAAGAGACAACTGGAAAAATTATCCTGGCAAAAAAAACAACTTTCACTTGCCTTTCAGGGTTTCTGCACCCATCACTTAGAAAAAGGGATCTCTTAATGTCCGGTATGAACAGGAGTGATTACAGTGTTACATATGGAGACCATGGACATGATGTGACTGCAGAAACCTATAGGTCAGCTGAGTGCAGCACAAACAAAATATGACCAAGACTTAGACTGATCATATTTTGTATTGCATGTACTGTAAATAAAACCATTAATATGATATGACAGAGTTTATCTACTGCTTCAGCAGTGGATGTGTGTTTTTGATGGAGTTGGAAATGAACAATTTCAGGTGGCCTTTGTGTTCATAACTGGACCTGTGAACCCAGTCTCCCTCAGTCCTGACCTGTCACCCCATGACAGAGGCCTGAGGGTTCAGGTGCCAACCATGAACCACATCGTGCCTGGTTCATGTCTGACTGGAGACCTTTCACATCCCTCTACTGCCAACTGTCAGTGAAGGCATCACCCAAAAATACTTAAAAAATAATATCTTGAAGTTCACATTTGGTCAATGGTTATTTCTTTGTAATGCACAGAAACATCAGCTGGTGCCTTTGTCAGTGATGATCACAGTCCAACCTCCATTAAACAGGTGAGCAGTATCAGGTGCTCATCATTAGAACAAATTGAGCACTGTCAGAAATTAAAAAATGTTTGCTACAGTAAAAATGCTCCAAAAACTGCATTTATATTTTATTTTTTTTATATTTTTATTTATTTTTTAAGTCCATCCTTTAATGTTTTTTATCATTGAATTTATCTGTGACAGTTGTCACCTGTTTAAAGGAGGTTGGCCTGTGATCATCACTGACCTGGTGTTTATTCCTCCTCTAATGCAGCAAATGTGAAAGTCAAAACATTGTTTTACTCTCAGTAAGAACCTGTTTATCCTCAGTTGATACAAAAATGATCAAATTATTAAATGAATGAACATGTTCAGATTAATATCTGCCTCTGACTGACTTGATGAAAACAACAGAAGATTATTGTTATGAAAACAAAATAGCCAAATAAACAGAGCAAATTTGACAAAAAAGAAAGAAAAATTGACTCAAAAACTTTCCTGTTTTAAGATTATCTTGCACAAGGAAATATTTTTCAGGTTATGATGTTTTTGTTATTACTACACACTGAACTGTTATTATAACGTGATTTTTCTGTTAATATCAGATCCCATTATTTCACATAATCTCTTTAAAATAAGAAACGTTTCTTTTAACATAGTGAAACACTTCTACATGTTGTTACATGTTATTGTAACATGAAAAAAATCATCCAGTTAAAACAAGAAAATGTTCTCATAACAAGAAACTGAGATAATATTTTTTGTCTCCGTAGTGGCAACAAGCTGCTGCAGGTTCAGGTTGATCTCAGACGTCCTGTCCAGGTCGTGGGACAGGTCTCTGTATCTGAAGACCTCCACAACATGGTTTATCATAAAAGAGCACTGATGATCGTGTGTGTGTGCGTGTGTGCATGTGTGTGTGTGTGTGTGTGTGTGTGTGTGTGTGTGTGTGTGTGTTGGCACCATTTGCGCAGCAGTGTCTGCTCTGAAAGTGTCCAAGCTGCTGATGCAGACATGCTGTCCCGTCTCTGGCTTTTTTCTCCTGGACTGGGTGGAGCAGCAGTTGTGGTGAGGTGGTGCTGATGGTGCTGATGGTGTTGATGGTCCTGATGGTCCTGTCTGGTGAGTTCAGGCTCTGCTGACAGTCTGGACTCCTCAGTGCCGCCCTGCTGTGGCTGGGCATCACTACAACAAGGCACTGGCAGACAGTGATGCTGAAGAAGGAGGGGAGGGATCGAGTAGGAGGGGGAGGGAAGACCCCCCCCACCCCCCATTGCCGTGACAGAACCGCCACCCCCAGGACTATGTCCACCTTCTCCAGTGTCCTGGTGTACAATCAGCTGTCACCTGCTGTCCAGTGGCTGCTCAGGAAGTCCCGCCTGTGGTGACGGCCGGTGTGGCTGTGAGTGACGGGGCTGCAGAGGTCCATGCTGAGAGTGTGGATTTACAAACTCAAACATAAACATGAAGTCTGTATCCCTGAAGTTTGCTTTAATGAGATTTGGCACACCATGGTACTACATTATTTTTCAGGGGTGGGGGGGTTGGTGGTTAACTGATCACAGTGGTCACAGTGTCCAGCAGTCTCCCAGGAGCCACACTCAGTGTGGGGTACCTGCATCACACAACCAACAGAGGTTTAAAAATTCAGAAATGAATTATTGAAATATATATTTTTTTAAAAATCTATAATGACTATGAAGAAAACAGGTTACCTGTGCAAATGAGTGTTAATCTGTTGGATGCTCTGGACACGATCTGTTCACTTCAAACCAATCGTCGATGCAGCTGCAACACAGATTGACCGTCACGTTATACCTCATAGTTTCTGTTTAGGTGCATCTGCTGATAACATGTAGTCACACCAGAGGCCTGTACTACGAAGCAGCATCTGAGGTTATCGAGGTAACTTAAGATTTAACTCTGGGTTGTCAGTCCTATGATGGTGGTTCACTTGTTACCGGGGTAAATCACCATGGTAACTTGCGCTGATCTCCTCACCTGCTCTGGCGCAGGTTAACTTCAGAGGATCAGATCAAAACCTGTCAACAGCCAAACTACTGACCAATCAGATACCTGGAAAAACCGAGTCATCATTCCTACAGGATCCTGACAGGGACAAAAGAGTTTACAATAGAGCGGTAAATAGTAAACATCAGTAGATATTTGTATAGATCAGTGAATGGTTTTGCTGTTTGAGTCTTTCCATGTGTTACTCTGGTTTTAGTTCTGTGTCCAGAAATGGAAATAAAAACGAAACCTCTGATGTCTTTGATTAGAACAATGATCCACACACTGTTCAATATTTCCCATGATCATAAATGAACATTTCAGTCAGACATGAACTACTTCTCTCTGAAACAAAAAAAGAAGTTAAGACGATGTTGCTTATAATTAACAGCTCCGTCTCTTTGACATGAACGCGCTCGTAGCTGGACAGGTAAACCCAGGGTTGACTGAGCCAGTTGATAAGCAGGTTTGTAGTACAGGTTAACAGGACGATGTTAGGTTCAGTTAACACAGATAACTAAAAGTTGTCCTGGATATGTTGATAGCTTCATGGTACAGACCTCTGCTCTGTTCATCCACCAAACACACTTGGGTGAATCATTGTTTTTAGTTTGTTCCTTAAGTAACTGTGTGAGGTTGTTTGTTTTGTACTGCTGTTTAAATTTTGTATGTCATTTTAATTGTAATTAAGTGTAATTCATTTAGTTCATTTAAAGACCATTAACCAGTTGTACTGAGCGATACGATGGAAAATCACAGCAGATGTATTTTTTATGTTGCATCAACCTGTTTATGGATAAAATAAATGTTTTAAGTGAGTCAGACCTGAATCAAAGCAGGATCAAGATACTTCAGCACCTTACTGTAAAAATCATAATAATCCTATACGTATTTACATTATGATCATTGCCCACAATGGACAGTCGTGAAAGGACTATTTATTGGTAACTTGGGTCCTGTTTTATTTTGACTGTGTGTCCACTGTTTGTTTTAACTGCTGTTTTTGTCTAGTTTTTCCTTCGTTGTGATGGTCAGCCCTGATGAGTTTGACCTGTGTTCAATTACACTTGCCTCACTGTTGTATTTAAGTCTCAGGCTGTGATCGAATCTGTATCTGAGCAGCAGCCATGATATCATTCTCTAAATGATAAGGAACAGACCTTCAGTGCTTCCTATCTTATCTCCTTTAGCATAGGAAACACTGAACCTTTGCAGTCCCACTGATCGTTTCTGCAGCAACATTTAAAGTGATGCACCATTGTAGTTTCACCAAAGCAGAGACACATTAATGTAGAAACATCAGAGCAGCTGTTTTATGTTTGTGACATGATCCAGAACTGATGGAAATCTCTGTCTGACTGACTGAAGCCCAGATCTATAAATATAGGTCTCTTCTCTGCTACATTGAGTTAGGAATCATCAAGTAGGCCTATGCTTGTCATCAACAAGCATGTTGAATTTATCATTATCATAACAATCTTTACATAAACATAGTTTCAAAACCACTGCACTAAAAAATGAATATCCCCTCTTAACAAATGTAAACAGGTCAAAACTCTACATAGCCTACTTATGTTTAAGTATAATTTATTCTGGCCCTACTCCTGTTGCTTATTTCTATTAAATTATTATTTTTAATGGCTCAACTTTCTGGTATATTTCTTTCATGTCATCTTATTTCTGATTGTTTTGTTTTTGTGGTTAGGAAAGGAGGATTTATCATCCAAGTGTTAGGGATTTTTTTTTATAGATTTTAAAGATTTAAAAAAGCAAGCTTAGTGTAAGTGCAGTCAGATTCTCTCTGCACAGCGGTGTCTTTTCCTAAGTCCTTATAAACTCTCCTCCACATCTTTCCTTGACCTCATGATGTTTTCCATCTGTCTTTCCCTGAGCCTCTGTCAGTTTCACTGTCGTTTCCTCGTGCTCCCGTGATTGTCCCTCAGTTTTACCTGTTGTTTGAATAACCTGGTTTTGGATTTTGTCAGTTTTCATAAACCTGTAAGTTTTTGGATGTTGTGTTAATTAAAACTCCTTCTTTACACCTGTGTTTGGTCCAGTTACGTTTGATCCGATTGACACATCTTCCTCAGTATAAATAGAATAGATTAACCTCCAGGTATATACGGTCATATAACCTAAACCTGACTGATTGAGGACATTGTTGTAGTTGGCTGTGTATCCTGTTGTATTGTGGTGCTTCAGTACACAACACTCCTAATGCTGCAATTAACAAGTGTTCACAGCAAAAACAGAGTTTGGAAAAAATGGCTGTGTTGTTCGGTTGCGTGTTTTAAACACAACACAGTATGATTCAGGAAGTTCAGTTTGGGAATCAGATTCATGAATTTCAAAGTTTTCACTGCAAGAGAAACAGTAGAAATACGAGAAAGTCACCATCAAATGAAGCAGTCGTGTTTATCCATGTTCGAGCTCATCAACATGAACCTGCAACAGGACCTTAACTCATTAAACAAGTTCCTCATTTTAGCCTCATAATTAAACATAAATACATGATTGTAAACCTGTAGTGGGAGTGCTGTGGAGAACCACCTCATTAATGATGCTTCTAGCATTATTAATAAGGTGGTTCTCTAAAGCTCAACTACCTGTTCATCATAGGAAAAAGAAGTGAAGCAGCTTCCTACCCTTTATGGTAGATGCAGAGGCAGGGCAGGCGAGCGATGGTGACTCCCTGAACCAGCTCCTCCAGACAGATCGCACATTCTCCTGCATCCTTAGTGAGGACGTCCTCTGTGAGACAACACACACACAAAGCTTCTGTGGAAGAATCTAGTATCGATTCGGTTCTACTTTTTTTTATCAATATATATTTGATGGTCAAGTTTGAGGAAAGTTTTTAAGGTCATTTCAATTGAAATGGCTTACTAGAAGTATGAATGTATGCAGAAAAGTTCAATGTAATCTTCCCAGCAGAAAACAATGTCTTATGCAGTTCACAATTTATCCTGAGGGTGGTGCCAGAGGAAAATTCATAGTTTCAAATGAGTTTATCAAAAAGTTATTTTCTCTGGGGAACATGAATAAAACTGATGGATCTATAGATGAGTCCTGGGCCCATCATAACAGATCGACATACTTCCATGTATGTCCAATACATTTTCTCAACCCACCACACATAGCATTTAACAATATGGACAAACAGAACAAAAACTCCATGTATCCATTACTGCAGATACACACTGCTGGTACAAATACAGTTTTGGTCTCTACGGGGGCTGAATTTTTTTATAACTCACCTGTTTACATTTTATTAAGGCTTAAAGTTCTGCATAACTGAGGGCGTGGCCTCTTTTGAGTAACAGGTGGGTGAGCTTATGTTTGCCACAAAGCGGTATGTACCAAAGTCTCAGCTCCACACACACCCCACCTCTTTGTCCAGTTTTGGATTAACTGGGAGTTAGGGGCGGAGTCAGGCACTGCCAAGATGGCGATGGTAGAGCAGTTCACTCTGAGCTTCAAAACCGCTCTTCAGAAACCTGCAGGTGACATCATGAAAGCTATGTCCATCTTCATTTACAGTCTATGGTTGGAACGTCAACATGTTGGGGGGGTTTGATCCCAACTGACTTTAAAATATCAGTGTTACTGATACTCCTTTATTTGAGGAAAACTCTACCTCTGCCACCTCTGTGTGTTAAGTGTGTGTGTGTGTGTGAGCAGTATTCATATTGCTCTGCTATGCACAGCATTGGAGTGGGAAGAGCAAGTCAGTGTGTGCACCATTAAACCCATCACCTGCAGCAAAACACACAGAGTCATTAGGACCGGCCTTATGTAACAGTGGATTAACCCACATAGGCCTGGAAAAGCCAGTTATTATGGGCTGCAGCATACGACAGCTCAGCTGAGGGAGACATCTTTCATGCACTGACAGTGTCGGTCACTCACACAGGCTCAGAGAAAACTGCTGTCCTGCTGCTGAATGTTTGTTTTAGTGGCCAAAGATTTCTGTTCTCCATCATTGGAAGATACAGTGAGAGTGAGGGACTCATTGTCTGTGTGTGTTGACACATGTTCACACATCAAGTCAGTTTTGTTCTCTCTTTACCCAGCACCAGAGAGAGAGTGAATGAGCACAGAGACAAAACTTCCTCTGCCCTGTAGGCTGCTTGACTGTGGACACCAATGACTTGGAATGATGAGGAAACATGCAGGATAGAAAGACTGTTCAAGATCATCACTACACAAATATCTTATAATAGTATTAAACTATGAAAGTATTTTTTGGTGCAAAGCAACTGAGCACCTGTGACTGGAATTAGTAGTTGTATAAAATAATCACAGGTGTGTATCAGTAAATTTGAGGTCACAGAGAAAAGATGCTCTTGGAGTTGCACATGATTTTTTTCTCTCCCACAAACACAACACAACTGTTACACCTTCTCTAATTCTTCAGTGCAGGTGCACAAATCCTGTTTTACAAATCACAAATTAAGAAACTCATACGCTCACATCTTTGCTACAGTTGCTGCGGAAATAATAAAGTGAAGCAAATAAGAATGTGAATTCATGCAATGAGAGTTGCACATCTGTAAAATATTTACTCACAAATACTTTTTTTTCTTTGATATTTTTTATCGCACAATCACGAGTCAATAACTACAACTGCTTGAATCTTTCGCTACGAGTCTCAAATGGCAAGTTCTGCACGCTCTGACTTTTGCATCAAATGTCTCTGTGAAATGTGGAGCAAAAGGGATTTGTACCTGTGGCACCTCAAGCCACGCCCTCGTCTTACGTAGAGGTTGCTGGATCAACGTCACCGCCACGTTGGTGTTGGTTGGACCAGGCAACTTGGCATAATGTTCAGAGGACTGAACTGCACTACATGTAGTTTTACATTTCACTATCATTACTCTGATATTTATTTTTATCATATTATCTCAGTTGTTTTGCACCAAAAATACTGTCATATTTAACGCACAGTCTGTAATTTCTGCCTCAATCAAAACAATAACAAAAGATGGCGTTGGTGACGTCATAGGGAAACATCTAGCATGGCTTTCCACTGTCTGAAGTGACATCAAGAGATTTCAGTAAAGGTGAACTGTGGAAGTGAAGATGATGTTCCAAGAAGAAAACATTCACTCATACTAGAATTGCGGTTATATGCCTCTGCCACTCAGACTGGTTTCAGATTACATCCCTGTTTATCCAGAGTCATGTAAAATATGAACCAGTGTGAAGTTTTGTCATAATTTCTATTTCAATCCTTGAGTCCCAGTGAACATTTGTACCAAATGTAAAGGAATTCCCTTGAAGACTTCTCGAGATATTGCATTCACAAGGCCAAAATCATGTTTTGTGAGGTCACCGTGACCTTAACCTTTGAACACCAAAATCTAATCAGTTCATCCTTGATTCCAAGTGCACATTTAATGCCAAATTTGGCGTTACTGAGATAGGGCGTCAAAAGCACAAAGTATTGTGTTTGCTGTGATACAAAACAGGAAAAGAGAAAATCCACATGCTAGAGGAGTGGGAAGAATGACTCAAATGTTTAACTGATGATCAGAATAGTTGTTGATTATTTTCTGTCGATTGACTAATCAATCAAGGGCCTTACTCCAGGGGTCACAGTTCACCACCTAATTGTCTTTAAACAGCCAGTCAGCACCTACTAAGTCTGGTATGATGAGGTCCACTCACATTTGATTTACTTTTTTTAATTTGTCATTGGATTGTTTAAAGCTCCATATTCTCCTCCTCTCCTGTGTTTTATTTGAACTGTTGATCTATAAGAAGATATATTTGTGGTTTTAAGAACCTGTGTAGTTTTAGATTTCCTTTCTCAGGCTTCTCTCTAAAGCTCTAGTAACAACAGGTCGATGAGCCAATCACAAGAGATGCCAAGATGGTGACGGTGGAGCAGTTCACTCTGAGCTTCAAAACCACTAAGAAACCTTTTGGTGATGTAACGGAGGCTACATCCATCTTTATTTACAGTCTTTGGTTTTGACAATTTCCAGGCCTAGTATTTTTGGGAGCCATTCTTTTAAGGAGGCGATGGCGTTTTTTTCCCCTTCACACCTTCTGGGAAGCCTACCAGTCTTAGATTATGCCTCCTCTCTCTGTTCTCCAAATCATCCAGCTTTTCTTTTAGATCGCTAATTTCTTCCTCTGTCTTGTTCTTATATCACAGAAGTCTTTGTGTAAAAAGTCAAGGCTCTCTGTGTGGCCAACCCGTTTTCAGTGTCTTTAAGTGGCTGCCCCAGAGAATGATTGTCATTGATATGTTTTTTACACCAAGTCAGCTAAAGTGTTCAGCTTTTGGTCCAGTAAGGCTTGGATTTTTACAAACCTTCTTTCCATTACTTCTTGAAACCATGGTGGTGGGGTGTTGGTGCTAGCCTCTGGTGAGCTAGTGTTAGCCGGGGGGCGATGCCAGTGGCTTTTTGCTTTTGTTGTCCTTTATTGCTGCTTTGGTGTTTTTTGAAAGCATTTGCAGTTGAACAGTTTTAATCTACAAAATAAATAGCGGGAGTCATTTCCTTTAAACTCTTCAGAGAATGGATAAAAGAAAAAGTCGTTGTTCAGCAGCTGGTGTCACTGCGGTTCAGATATCAACCTTTGTTCTAGTGGAGTAAAAAGACTTTTCAGGACACAAAGTAATGGATAAAGGACCTTTTGTTGGCAGATGAGGGCAAGAGGGTTTACTACAGACATGGCCGACAGAAAAAAAGACTTTGTAAACATACACCATAGATTTCAAGACTTATGTCTTTGAGAGGTGCAGCATCGTAAACACAGCATCATTGTTTTTCACTGACTGTAGTCCTTAACATACCCGGGGACCCGATCAGACCAGGATATCATATGGACAGGAAGACCGAGAGGAATCTGTCGCAGCTGAACAGGAAGTCAAATGACTCAAAGAGGAACTAAACTTGCCTGAAAAACATTCAGCTGTGAGAGAAATGTGGAGGGGTGTTTAAATTTGGAAGTCTTGAGTCAGATAGTTTACTGATAGGTCAATAGGGCATGCAATCGGTCAAGCTGATAGAGCGCTCTCTGCTGGATCACTGGGCAAGCAACTTCAAATGATGCACTAACAGAAACTGTAGACCTCATTTCGAACAGGTCATTACAACTCAAATATGAACTTTTCAGCCCATGTTAGAACGAAAATGAACGAATGTTCAAATTTCAAATAATGAGTGACAGCCCTAACAGGGAGTAAAAGGAGTTCATACATGCTGAGAGAGAAATACAGGATGAGATGAGACAGAAGTCCTTTCAGATTCAAACCACTGCTGGAGGTGAGGCTCCTGATTAGGGGTGGGCGATATGGCAAAAATATCATATCACGATTTTTTAAAAATAAAATCACGATTTCGATTTTATCACGATCTTAAATTGGAAAAAGAAAAACAGACAATTTAGACCAAAGAACCTTTCTTAACAGATTTTATTTCAAATAGTCGCAGTTTTGCCTGCATGTGCAAACAACGTAAAGTTTAAGGTAAACAACAACAACATTCTGGTTCGTCGTGTTACCACCCGACGTGCGAACGGTTTCTGTGCAAACTTTGCAGATTACATTTGCTTGCACTTGATCAGTTGCGGAAAATCCAAACCAATTCCATATAATGAAGGTGGAATTTTTTTTAGCGACCAATTCCGTTTGGCTTTCAGCCATCGCTCTCCATGTGCTACCGCTACACACACAAACAAGGAGGCGGGTAGGAAAGCGCGTCACTGCCCGTAATTCGCTATGATTGGTCGGTCAGGTTAACGACGTCAATACGTCTGATGCGTCGGTGCATCAGCATAGAACTGCAATTTATAGAATGTGCCCTAGACGATCCCACGATCTCTGCAGTTTGAAAGATCGTCTTCACGTTGTAATCCTTCACGATCTAATATTGTCATATCGCCCACCCCTACTCCTGATGCAATTACTTTTTACCAACATGTATGGATAGACATGAAGCTGCAACACCAGCAGTGGTGTTCATATACCTGCCTGTGTACTTCATGTGCAGCTGGAGATAGTCATATCCACTAGGAGACAAAGATAGTATCTGTCCACCAACCTGTACCAACATACATGTTGTTTGTCCCATAGGAGTGTACCAGTGGCAAGCTTACTGTTCCTTTCATCACTGTAACATGATAAATGTGCAGCTTAGATTGTGGAACGGTCACGGTTTGGTTAAGTTTAGGCACAATAACTGCTTAGTTAGGTTTGGGAAAAGGTTGTTGTTTGAGTTAAAATATATATTTCATTAAGATTAGAGGTTACCTTTGTCGTCATGGTTACAATAATAAATACACCGTTAAGGTTGTGGAAAAGTCAAGGATAAAGTAAACATCACTGACTGTCGATTTGAAACAGGAAATGAACAGCACGCTCCAATATTATCATCAGATCTGAGCTGATGACAGACAGACTGATATTGGTAGATATCAGCTGATCAAATATGAAGGACACGAGATAATTTGGAAGCTAGTGAGTCCAAGTTTGTCAATGACGAGTTTATTTTTCAATTGTAAAATGTCTGTAAAAATCAAACTTACAGGATCTTATCAAAATGTCGACATAAGTGTTTAGATTAAATATTAATTAAGGTGAAACATGACAGACACGTGTGGCAGTTGTGGAACACAGGAAGTTGTGGGGAGAGCTAATTAAGCAGTCTGTAATATTTGCAGTAAACCTGATTGTATCCAAAACTGATGAATTTAGGTCTGGTCTCTCTATATATAAACCTATACTATAAGAAGGCTGTCAATATTAAGACGTAATCCTCTGTATGCTTACATTAATTTAGCATATCTTTAGTTATATCATGGTTTTACTTGCTTGCAGGTTCCTCACACTGACTGGCACACCTGTTCTTATCTACTTTATGTTACTAATTGTAAAGTGAGTTACAGAGGAAGGGTCAGTCCTACCGTTGTACGTCACTCTGGGTTTGGTTAAACACAAAACCAGGTGAAGATCCATCTCATCCGAGGACACAAACTTGGAGCAGACAGGGCACTTGAAGCCTGGAAGAAAAAGGAAAACACGACACAGTTAATGAGAGAATTAGATCATCTGTGGATGGGGTGGAGTGACTATAAGTAGAAAATATCACATGTCTAATCACTCATAGTGTTTTCTTTCTCTCTCTTCAGTACCATTGTTTTCCCTGTGATCACTTGTCAGTTTAACCAGACGTGTTAACAAGAATCCTGCACAACAGATCCTGCAATTATACCCAGCACACCAGTCACTACCAGTGAAAGAAACATCAGCCTGACGCTTGGTATTCAAAACAGTGTATTTGTAACCAGCCTGAGTCCAACCATACCATCATGACCGGCCCATCTGCACCACAGGATCCTGCACTGACTCAGCTCCACCTGCCGTGGATCACAGTATTCAAGGTCCTGGCTGTCAGTTTGAGTTCTGCTCATGTGTCTATTGAGAAACTTTGTGAAATCACTCTACAAACTGTTTCCTGCCACTAACCTGTCTGTGTCTTAGATTTCTGCCTCAACCTCTCCTTCACCTTCAGCATCTGTTGTTGAAAGCCATCCACCAGCTCTCTGCTAATCTCTTATCATGGATGATCTGTCCTCAGTCCCTTAGTACTGTAATTTATTACAAATGTTTATTCTAATGTAATCCAGTAGAACACCTCTGCCACATGTTCTATCTTTACAAAGCTTTTATTGACGATGTCAGTGATTTATTCTTCTCCTGTATCTTTATTACTGAGGTCACAGTTTGTCAGTTGGTGATGTTGAACTGGACTGCATTATACTGAGATGTGTTTCTAATGTTCAGCCTCCGTGGCTCCGGGGGGCTCCGTGGGGTTACTTCAGTACCGTTGTTCTGGAGTGCATTAAACTGAAATGAACCCTCATGTCTGTAGATGAGGTGGGCCGAACCTCATTTACAGGGTGCCACCGCAAACCCAACCGTTGATAAGTGGAAGAAAATGGATGGATGAAGTCTAGAGCAGCACCACCAACTCACTAACTATGACCTACATCAATAATAAATATATTGTAATTAAATTAATAATTAATTAAAACTAAACATTACAGTCTTTTAGATGTTATGGATGAGCTGTTGTATTGGACTGCATTAGACTTGTAGGTGCTTTCACTATAGTGGCCACCTTATTGTCTTTACCCTGGCTCCCAGTGTGCTTTCAGGCTCTTTGTGGTCTGGCGCCAGAGTTTTAGACCCAGTAAGCATGTGGGAGTCTGGGCCCTCAATTTTTGTTGTTTTATCTCTCTGTTATTGTGGTCCAATTTAAAGCCATTAATTTATTAAAACATTTATTAATTCTTTTTTTGGCTCATTTGAGGTCAGTGTAGCAAACCGTAAACATTAACCTTATAATATATTATAATGTATAATGTATGAAAAACCATTTCCTATTTAAACATCCAGCACACATGGAGGAACATTAGCTCTTATTTAGTCATGTTTTCAGCTGCCTGATGAATCTCAGTCCAGTGTTCCTTCTCTTTTAGCTCTGTGTTTGGTCTCCACCAGCTCCTGAGGGAAGTATCTGGCTCTTTAGCCTAAATGCCTAATTTGGCCTAAATGCTCCACTATGTTCGCCGGCTGCTCTCTGACTGTGTCTGTCTGCTGTTTGCTGCTGAGCAGGTAGTGGACAGTAGGGTTGTGCCGATGCACAATAGTCTCTGTGATTGACGATCATCAGAACGATAGCAAACTGTTCATGCCTTTGCAAATGTCAAGACTATATTTGACATGTTTTCTAATTAATGTAGTAACTTATTATTTGTAGTTTTAAATTAAGATTTAATAAAATTTTCCCCACTACAGTTTCACATATACAACCGCATATAACCATGTTTGTAACCTCAGGAGGGCTCGCAGCAGGCTGATTATAGCAGCCGCGCATCCTAGCAACCGCCGGACACCGTTCCTAGGGGCTAAGATTTCTTGCACAGACCATGTGGAAGCAGACAGGTGGTAGTACATTGTCCTATGTACTCTTAATTGTGTCCACTGTGTGAAGCCAGAGACCATACAACAAGCTCACAATATGTTCCTGTATATCAACTGAGACCCGTTGATGAAAATGTCATGTAAATCAGATGATGATTGTCATCATCATGCAGACGTCTTCCGTGGGAGTCAATCATCAAACGTGAAATTTGAGGAAGATTGAAGAATGGATTGTTGAGTTACAGCAACTTCCTGTTTCATGGCGAAGCGCCGCCAAGGTCAGACCACTCAACCAAAAGTCAACGTTTTCACACTCAGCCATCATCAAAGTCTTCAGCATATTCTGACCAACTTTGAGTTGGGTGTGTTTAACCTGCTAGGAGGAGTACATCAACGTGTAAAACGGGTGGGGGAAAAAAACGATACAGTGTAATATCGCGATATTTTGCGTGATGATGTTGTATCGATTCAGAGACATCAAGTATCGATATTTCATTACATAAATTCTTAATAAATGTTGCAAATACAAGCTCAACTCTTTGGGTACCAGAATAATAAAAATCATTTGACTTTTCAGTCCACTACATGGTGCTAAGTGCTCACTGTATGGTGAGGTCAGCACAGCAAAGGTGTGACTCTCGCAAGATTAAGCCGGTAGTTGGACAAAACAAAGATGCATGATGGAGACATGACACCGGAGAAAGAACTGAGAAGTCCGCCGACAAAATTTAAATCAAACGTCTGGACTTATTTTATATTTTATAACAAAGAAGGAAAGACAGACATTGATATGACACATGCAATTTGCAAGTGTCATATGAAAATAAAATATTCCACGAATATGAGGGCTCACCTCTCATGCCACCATCCAGCAGTGTTAGCTGATGAGAGCCAAGCTAATCCAGCGCCAATGAAAAACCAACCAACATTGGACACACTTAGATCGACAAAACTACCACCAAATTCCGAGCGAGCTAAGAAGATAACACAGTCCACTTCATGTGCAAAGACCTGCATTCACACAGCGTTGTGGAAAACAAAGGTTTTTGTTACATGCTCAAGACGCTGGAACCCAGGTATGTGACTCCGTCTTGCCATTTTTTCACCGATGCAGTGGCCGCTAAACTTTACCAAGCAATGAAGCTTTAAGTCGAGGAATCTTTGAGTACAGCAGAAAGGGTTGCATTAACTTGTGACGCGTGGACCTCCAGGGCAGTGCATTCATATGTGACTATTTTGCTCACTCAATCAATCTGGCATCACAGCGGGTGTTAAACCTGCCAACAGTAGCCAGGGCCATGGAGAGAGTGCCTTTTTCAATAGAAGCATGGTGGCAAGAAACACTTTAGATACAAAACAGAAAATGTTACAGCTCCCGAGCCACAAACTCAAGACTGATGTGGGCACAAGATGGAACAGTCTTATGAAATGCTCCGGCGGTTACTTGAACAACAGCCTGCCATTTGCGCAACGCTCCTGTCTCCCGACTGGGACTGATATTTTCACTCTGAATGAGACGGACATTGGGCACGCCGAAGAAATTGTGCAGGCCTCGAAGGCGATGCAAGTGGCGACCACTGTGATGTCTAAGGAAAAGAGTCCTACTCTGTCAGTCATAGCACCGCTGCTCGCGCAGCTGTTGCACGATACACATGACAACATTGGCGACACAGTGCTGGCGGGAGACATCAAACAAAGCATCAGTCAAGATCTTATGAAGAGATATGCCACTGCAGTAGAGAACACCCTCTACACATCATCAACGCTCGACCCCAGGTTTAAAACCCTGCCGTTCCTGCCCCCAGAGGAGAGACAAGAAACCTATGCTAGTGTCGTTGCTGAGGTTATAACCCTTCAGGTAAACAAACATTTAAATAGTAATAATAATGTATCTTATTTCTAACCAACCTGAGAAATGCCAGTGCTTACTAATATTGTAGTCATGAGGCTAAAGATTTAAGACATATAGACAAATTAACTACAATATTGTTTAGCTACCACTGTCTTGCTTTCCGACAGATAAACGTATTTGCTGCATACCTAATTAAAAATATATTAAAGGATATTTATGTTCTCCCTTTCTATCTCTCTCTATGCTTGTGTGTGTATTCTGCAGGAAGAAATGAGGCAGCCGACCATCTCTGAGCCAGAAGCCCTGGAACATCCGGAGAGACCTTGTTACACTGAAGAGGATCCCGGATCCCCTGTCATCCCAACCAAGATGAGGAAGTCATGTGGGCTAGCAGACTTGCTTGGTCAGACTTATGGTGACGTTGGAGCCCCACCAAAATCATTTTCTGCCATAGCTGAGTAGGAGATGAAAAGATACACAGAAGTCCCACTACTGGCACTCACAGAAGACTCACTCAGCTGGTGGAAAGCACACGAGCAAGTGTATCCTTCCCTGGCTAAGCTGGCGAAAAGACACCTGGACAGCTGGAGACATCGTCACAGCACAAAGAAGCAGTCTGACCTCGGAGCATTTTGATCAGCTCCGACATTAAGCCACTTCCTGGTTCATATTCACCTTGCCACCAGAGCCACGCCCTTGAATGAAAACCCACAATTTCCACAATAAAGCATCATCACATTCAGCAAAGTATTTTATGAACCTGATGACAAGGGCGAGGTCAACCTGTTAGGCAAAGTAAATGACAGAGTAAAACATAAGGTTACATGTCGGCATGAGGTGGCGCTATTTTTATTACTGAATATGGACATATAGATGTGTTCAGGCCAGGACTCTTATCAAACATGTAAAGTTTGGGGCAGTTTGGACAATGCATAATGGAGTTATAGTGAGTTGATTCTTTTTTTATTTTTTGGGCTTTTTTTTTTATGCCTTTATTGATAGTGCAGTAGAGAGAGACAGGAAATGGGGAGGCAGAGAGAGGGGGAATGACATGCAGCAAAGGCCGTCCGATGCGGGACTCGAACTGGGGCCAACTGCAGTGAGGACTGTAGCCTCTACACATGGGGCGCCTGCTTAGGCGCCACACGACGCCCCATGCGAGTTGATTCTTAATTAATTGCGATGGATCAAAATTTGCCGTGCCGCCCCAGGCAGGCTGTT